ATGACAATGTCGATGAATTGGAATAGCACCTGAAGTAGCAGACTCGAGAGTTTTAGTTTCATTCTCGATTTTGCCAAACGTTTGCGTACTCTTTGTGTTGTATTACAAAGAGCACAAAGTTATTTCCTTTGTAATGGAAAATCGCTTTAATTCCCAGAAGAATGAAAATGCGCTCGCCGTATTACCAACTTTCCACTCTCGACGCGTATGCAGAAATACTATTGGGTAAAGGACAGAAAGGTTTATTAATGAAAAAAATTTAATGTATTTACGCGAGGAATGTATACTAAAGAAAATACATGATATTCAAAAGCCATATACATATATGATATGCATATGCATAGCAAACAACAAATCTTCTTGACTTTTTCGGTTATGGTTTTGCACATGAGTGGTGTCATCGTTGCTTGAATTCAGGCGCTACAACAATATATCCATGATAACCATGAGGAATTCCGGCAAAGGTGTTCTTTGGTTCAAATGAGAAAAAAAACGAAATAAAAACGATTACGGAACCCAACAACCCAACATTCAATATGAATGCATTTGTTTTGTATAAGAAAATCTTTCACTTGGTTTCATAAATGTTTGCAAAACGACAAGAAGCACACAAACGTCGTCGTACATTGAATTCATATTATGAATTCTGTTGTATTTATAAAAAGCGTACATTTTTGAAAGTATGAATGGATGCCGTTTGTAGACTTGCCCGCGAGTATGTGCATGTGTGTGTGTGTGTGTGTGTGTTTGTTGAGAACAAAGTAAAATGAACATTTTTGTAAACAAGGAAAATTAGAATTTAACATGTACGATAAACCACAATATCATAGAGAGTACAATGTCGTATGGAACGCGCAATTTCAAGAAACCAAGTGCAGAATGACATTAAAATAAATGCTTTTTTCACTTCTTCTTCAAAATGAATCGATTTGATAGTTGCTTACCATAAATTACATATGAGCCACAGTACGCTGATAGTCGAGCAACAAAAAGTCGAGCAACAATAACAAGAACAACAATAACAAATAAAACCTGCTGTATGGAAATGGAAACATAAAAAATGAAAATAAAAACTTTGCCAAAAGTATTATGTTTCCAACGAAATACGGGCAAAGAGATGCGACCGAGTGGGAATGAGTGTGAGCGAGCAAAAAAAAAAAGAAGGAAGAGATAGAGATAGGTTTCGAAGCCATGTATCACCCACAACACCTTAAATGATTCCTTCTAATCGCTGGTACACGCTTACATATTTACAGCATCTAAAACACATGTAAATATATACAAAATACATATATGTAGCAGCATCTTGGCCAAAGACAACGATCAAACTGAGAAAGTTTGTCAACGTATGAATGTATGCTTATATGTTTGATATTGTTGTTTTACTTTTAACTTAAGATGAACGTAAATCGACTCCTTGTCGAGCAAATGCTACTCATGTTCGCTGCAGTAAAAGTTGTGGTGTTTGTATTTTCCTAAGCATTCATTTTAAATTGCTTGTTGTTCGTATAAATAAAAACCAATTCAGCTAAATACCACGCAAAGATTTTACTGTGTACCCAAGTTGTGTCTGAATATTTGAAGGGGAATCCAGGCTTTTGATTATCTCTAGCAATTTGCACAATGTAGCAGAGAAAATATAACACCTAGGGTAGTCTCTCACTTTTCTCAAACATGAATATTTCAAGATAATATCGATATTATCGAATAAGTAAGATTTCAAACGATATTTTCAATAAAAGCCGATAAAAGCAGTTTAGAGCAATATTTGTCGATTTTTGATGGATATTTCAATGCCAACTTAACCTGCTATACCGACTTGTCATGTTGATTAAGTACTAGATTATATTATTAAAATTTTCTGTCTTTTTTTCTCAACAACTAAAAAAATACGATATATTTTATCAAAATATTTTATATTTTTTGCAATATAAATATATTTTATTCAAGTTCTTTTACATTTTGTGGGATTGGTGTTCAAAATATTCGCGAATAGTTGAATCAAAATGATAGTCAAAAAATAATATGAATAATATAACCTCACTTTATTATGTATAGCAATGCAATTGTGTAATTGAAAGTCTAACACAATTAGACATATTTACTAGGCATTTTGTGTTAGACTTTCAATTACACAATTGCATTGCTATATATAATAAAATGAGGTTATATTATTCATATTATTTTTTGACTAGCATTTTGATTCAACTATTCGCGAATATTTTGAACACCAATCCCACAAAATGTAAATGAAATTGAATGAAATATTTTGATAAAATATATCGTATTTTTTTAGTTGTTGAGAAAAATAGACAGAAAATTTTAATAACATATTCTAGTACTCCATCAACATGACAAGTCGGTATAGCAGGTTAAGTTGGCATTGAAATATCCATCAAAAATCGACAAATATTGCTCTAAACTGCTTTTATCAGCTTTCATTGAAAATATCGTTTGAAATCTTATTCGATAATATCGATTTTATCTTGAAATATTCATGCTTGAGAAAAGTGAGAGACTCCCCTAGTATAACACACTGCACACATTTTACACTCGAGTTCCTGCTTTTTTCTTCTCCATTCATTTTTAATGCAGCTTATGAGCTTCTTATAAGAATGTGCTTCAAGAAATAATTTGAAGCTCTTTGCTGTCGAAATTTCTCATTCGCCGGTTGAAAAACAGGTGAATGTCGATGTCTGAATATGTATTCCTTTTTCAGTGAATTTCATCATACCAAGTATGGTATATATCTAGGGGCTCGGAAGTATTTTTTATTGATGAAAAAACACACATAATCAGAAATATTGATATATTTTGAGTTTAAACAATAATAATCACCATATTCACGAATATTGGTACATTTTGAGTGTGAACAATACTGTGAATAATCATGAATATTCCCAATATTTTGATTATCTTAAATATGAAAATGGCGGCAAATGATGTATGTCATTTTGTGGAATGTTATTTATAAAATCAGACAAGCTTAGAACACTTTTACCTATATATTTTTGATGTTCTTCAGTCAAATTATTTTTTTATCAAAGAAATATAAGTTTTTTAGGCTGAAATCTCTTTTTATATAATAAAAACAACAACTATTAATTTTATTTTGTGTTGTGTGTGTTTTACATCGGTGCCATATACGAGCTGAATAATGACAAATAATTACGTAAATATGAGAAATATTCAAAATATTCTCAATATTTTCCATTTATACACCACATTCATACAAAATTGTCAAAACTTTGTTTATTTTGATTTTTTTTTCATGTTCCGAGCCCCTAGGTATATATACAAGTCCAATATTTTGTTCCAAAATACGAGAAATACACTTAAATCCAACACTACACACACTATTGTTAAGATCGCTCCGGTGCATTCTATAGCCAAGAATTTGCCAAAATAAATGAAATTTCTTAAAAATAGAAGTAAACTTCATATTCATTTCAATAGTAGAAAATTAGCAATAAAACATACATCATCCATATATTGTCTCTCTCTCTCTTCTGAAGTGTATATAGCAGTATATTGACTTCATTGTTCTTTTAAAAAATAAAATAGCCGTATCACATTACGAAATAAAAACCAATTTCAATAACCTGCTGCATTCAGTTTAAAATATTGTACTGCATTTTGTAAATATATGTTTGCATGGTACATCGTTTCTATTGATCGAACATTTTTCGAATTTTGAAATATCGAATCTCCATTCCAATGAGGGAAAAGAATATTTTTGAGGGAAAAACGTATAAAAAAAGTTGCTGGAATTCATTTGAGAAGCATGGAATTACAAGCGGAAAAAACACGAATACAATGAATTTATTTGTTGGCCAACAAAAGTAGTCGGTATGTATGAAAGTTATGGGATGCATTTGCCCTGAAGCAATGGAAATAACAACATGAAAAAAAACGATCTGTTGAATGCAGCTTTATGTGACAATTATGTGAGAAGTAGCAAAGTTTAACTTTGCATGAACAAACAAAAGAATCCCCCGAGCGACTTAATTTCTCTCTGACTTGTACTTTATCTCCATCAAGTTGTTCTTTTCGATGTGTGTGTGTGTGTGTGTCTCTGTGTGCTATTTTTTCCGATGTACGTCGAAAAGCAAAAATTGTTGCACTTTTTCTAGAGTGACCCTTCCTTCTGAGGGGAAAAAATTGTTCAGTTGGGATAAAAGCATTTTTTTCATTTGAAAAACTCGATTTTTTCAGTCACCATTTTTTGGATGTTGTATGTGACATATGCTTATGCATTGCTTTGCATGGCACTGCATACATATTGCAAGCAAAATAATTCAAATATTTTTTCCGTAAAGCATTTGTTTATAGCAGAATAAAATCAACAACAATACACCAATTTATCTCAGCCAAAAAAGTGGACGGAGAAAGAGCTTCTCAATATTTGTTGTTCGTTTCAAATTGGTATGCGTTAAATTTCGAGTGCAAAATATTGACTTTAAATAATTCTCTAAAGTGCATTTTTCGGGTGAATCGATTTGCAAACAACCAACTAACCCCACCAATATTCATAAAATTGTTCAAATATTCCGGTAACGCTTGCAGCGAACCAATACATACAATTGTTGTTGCCAAAATTATATTTCGCAATCGATGCATGCTCTTTCTCCCTCTCGTTTACACACTGCCTCCCTCACACTACATGTTTCTTAAGCTCTTGTACGCATATCTATTTTAAAAGCATTTCCAATGACGCCCCAATCCATTTTGCTATTCACATGCCAACGAAAAATTTAAATTCCACATGGATCGTAATAAATGAACCAATTTTTCGATATTTTTGTTGGCTACATACCAATGCTGCAGTTTTTTTAACTCGCCTTTTCCTATCTCTTTTGAATCCATTTAACGCATATATCCGAAAAGAAATACATATTAAATTTAAGAGAAAAAGATGCACTCAGTGTATTCAGTTTGATGCATTTCGATTTTTTGAATGATTTGTCTCATTCTCTCGTTTTTTTTGCTCCTATTTACAGAATTGCAGAAGGTTTTCCTGATCCACGAACATGTCTGTTACATCAAAAGTTGCAAATGTTGAACATTTGTATAAATCGGCGCCGCATACGTGAGGGAAATTTGTCACATTCGATGGCCAATAGCAATCAACGAAATATGGACTCACGTTCCGACGAATCCGATGATGAATTCTTTGATTGTGATGCAACTAACGATGATGATGTTGGCGAACAAACCAAAGACTATCTACCATGGAATAAGCCCGAAGGCAGATTGTCAAAACTCAACGATATGAAATTAATCGATAGCGATGAATATTTGTACGTTCCAATAACACAAGAGCCAGTTCCAAAAACAGAAGACCAACTTGAAGACGATGCTGAAATTCTCTTGAAATTGGGTCCCGAAAGTGGTAAGCAAATTTTCTTTACTAAGTCACTCACTCTAGCACTCACTACGTTGACTATCGACAGCATTATGTTATCAAACAACTCTTGTTCACAATGCGAATTAAAAGCAAAAACTTAAACTACAATATACATGGCAATTGCTTAGTTTGAACATTTTAATCGCTTTTGAATTTTGTTGTTGATCTTCGACAGAGCTTCGAACACAAATAATGAGCGCATCACTATTATCGGATATGGAAAGTTTTAAGGCAGCTAATCCAAACGGAAAAATTGAAGACTTTATTCGGTGGTATTCGCCGCGTGACTGGATTGAAGAAGACAATATAAAAATCGATGGTAAGTATTTGAATAAAATATACATTGTCGAATAAACTCAGAATTTATCGTTGATTTTTTTTCACATAGATTCGAACAGTAGCCAAGGTCGATTGAGCTCGCGTATGCTTATACCAGGCAATACATGGCAAAATGTGTGGAATACCGCCAAACCAGTTCCAGCACGACGCCAGGTTTGTTCGTTTTTGAATCAGTTTTTTTTTAATTTTTCATTCCTTTAAAATTAGATTGAGTTTGATGTTGATGGACTTTAATTTGATGTGTTTTTTCAGAGACGTCTGTTTGATGATACTCGCGAAGCCGAGAAAGCATTACATTTTCTTGAAACACGAAATATTGGACAAATCGTTCAACTTTGTATTGTTCCACTATTCCATGCTTCTATTTTACGTGTCAGAGTAAGAATGACCACTATAAAAATCAAATTAATCTAGAGATTAATATATTTAATTCTTTAAATGTCCTTTAAATTATTATTTTTTTATTCCAGGAGGAAAGTTCTAAATTCTCTTCAATTATTCCAAACTACGAGAAAACAATGGAAAAACTGCAACATTTGTGCTGTCGCTTATCGCGCGATGCTTGGATAAGTCATACAACGTCAACAAAAGGTCAGTCAAAGCTATTGATCCCTTAGTAATTGTTTGTTGTTCAACTGAAATCTTTATTTTTCAGGAAATTCGAAGCAAAAATGGGAGAATATGTTGATGGAAATCACAAATACGGAATATATGGTGGTAAAATGCTACAGTGTCATTCGAAAACTATATCCAAACGTTGAGAATTTTGAAGACAATGTGAGTTCCTGCTCGTTCCAGCTACCATAATTTTATTTCAAATAATTTATCTCTTATCGATTTTAATGATTGTATTGCAGGATGTCAATGCACTGAAATCTTTACTGAGCGCTAATGAAGTTCAATTGGAAGAAGGTGCATTCGGACCACTTTCACAACAAATCTTACGCTTGTTCACGCAAGTAAAACGGGCGCAAAGTGAACAGTTGCAAGACTTGGAAAATATACCAATTGTAAGTCGATTTCGAATGAATATTCAAATGAAAATTCTAAATGGGAAAATTTAATGTATGAATAGACTCTGCCTGAAGCCGTTGAAAAGGAATTCACTGTACGTGTTTGTGGTCAAACATCTCATGCAATTGGTACGGGAGGCCCACAGTTTTTACGGTACGATCAATTTCAGAATCAAAATTAAAGTTTTTATCAAATGTTTTTTTTTTATGTTTACAGCATAATTTTAAAACCAGAAGAGTTCCGAATTTGCGGCGCTTTTTCACATGACATCAAATTCTTCTAATTAAATATGCACATGCATTGATATAAGAAAAATAATCCAATTAAAAATTTATCAAAATAAAAAAATGCATTAACATTTTTCAAAAATACTAAGAAATCTGTTTGTTCCAATATTCACAACGATCAGTTGAATAAATTTAGAATTTATTTTGACATTTAGCAAGGCGCACAACCAAAAATGGCCACATTGAAACAATGTTGAAATTGAGACAACCTTCATACGTCATCAAAGCGCATCGTCGAACTGTCAAATAAAGAAAAAGTGATGCTTATAGCTTGTTTCATACAACAGGCTCTATGTAAAAAAAGCCCCAACACGATACAATTAATATATTTGTTCTTTGTATATTTATAAATTTGTAAGCATAAACGAGTTAACGAACGGCGTTCAACGAAAACGAAATCGTTTCACCAAAAACCGCACCGAATATTTTCGTGCATTGTGTTTTAGAGGTAATTCAATTATTTTTTTTCTTGTTCTTTTTGAACGCCGGTGTTGTAGTGAAAATGCATAAAATTCGCTGTTAGTGGCACAGAGTAAAATTGCAAAAAAAGTTAACATTCGCTAATAAAGTGGAATCAGTTAAAAAACTAGCAAAGTTCTTCGGGGCATGCCATTGCTTTTTTTAATATCCGAACTAGTTCATTCGAAGTATTTTGATTCAGCGGCAAACTCATTTTTACTCAGACTATTCAATTTCTACAAGTATATTTGCAAACAAATGATGGATACACCGAAAATTGTTGCAGCTAAGGACAACATAACCTTCAAAAAAGTGTACGTAGAAAAAACGTATTTCAACATTGAATTGACGTTTCAAATGTATTTTTATTACTTTTGTTTATTATCTTTTGTGCGATTTATGTTCAGAAAATTTTATTTCCATCAAAATAATCAATTGAATTCATTCTGTTTCTAGTACGTTTGATGGGGGAGAACAGAGCGCATACGAAACTGATGGTGCTAGTGTAGTTGTCGTAGGCAGTTCAGGATCGCACGACCACGGTAGCTCGAAAATTAAATTGAAAAATATCGTCGATTACAAGTGGGAGGTGAAGAATTACATCGGTCGTTTGATTGCAGTACATCTTGATGGAAAATATGTTGCGTATGCAATTAAGGGTAATTATTATTCGAATTTCACATAAACTAAAAAGCAAAAGCAAGCCGATAAAGATTGTTTAAAAACAATAGCGTTGATCATAGATTCATGTACTCAAAATACATTTTGAGCTGCATTCTGATGTTTGCCATATTTTAGCGTTGAAAATGTCGCCAATGTTAAACTATATGATTTGTTGCAATTTCTGGTCGTTAAGAGATATTAGTTATTTCTTAAGTATATTATACGTCAAAATCCACATAAACTAAATAGCAAAAATAGCTTGTTAATTTCAATTGGTTTGTTTGTTTGTTCAACAGTGGCTGGTAAAAAGGGGAACATCGAAGGAATGGTACGCGTAAGGGGCAAATCACTTAAAAATTACTTTTTAATTATTATTGATTGTTTTACGATTATTTTTCGATTAGTTTCCGATTACTTATCGATTATTTTAAATTTTATTCTTTTCTTTTGTGATTCTCCCCTTAGGTACGCGTTGCTAATCCAAATACAGGCTCGCGCGCTTTAATTCGCGGAAAATCAAGCGAAGTACTTGATTTGCAGTTTGCCCACATGAAATCCCAAATTATGTTGGCTTCCATTGAAAATACCGCACTACATATTCACAAAATCGAAACCATCAACGACAACATAATTTGTACGTTGCAACTGAAAATTGATGATCCAGTCGAAGGCCATGTGTCAAAATTTGACAAAATCAATTGGTGCCCGTATGTACCAGAAAATGAAACAGAAACTGACAATGATGCTGGAAAACTGTTGGTTTGGACACGTGGCACCAGTTTTCAATGTTACAATGTTGGAACGGTTGTTGACAATTATGGCGTAAGTCGACTTAATGTTCTGAATCATCGATTTTTCCTTGTTTTCCAATATTGAGAATTTCTTATAAATTGGTCCACGTTTTTAGATCGGAACACATCATGCCAACGATATAACCGAAGGCTCATTGAAATTTTATGAAGTTTCTGCTATAACTGATGCTTCACTCTCTCCAGACGGAACGACATTGGCTATAACCCTTGAAGACGGTGATATTCGCTTTTATCAAGTTTATTTTCATTGCAACGAAGATGAACCACGACTTTTGCATCAATGGACACCACATGAAAAAAAACCTGTGTCTGGCTTATTCTTTTTGGATGATCACACCAAATCTGCAGCTGGGTAAATACTGACAATATTGCAATTTTAGGTCGTGGTAAACAGAGATGTCATTTTCACTCTATCTGTGCGACGCACACATTATAAATTTCTATATCAATTTCAGAAGTTCCCTTTGGAAATATGCCATTACGGCAAGTGATAACAATACTGAATTTAAAGTATGGTGCTGTTCGTCGTGGGAATGTTTACAAACCATTCGATTCGAAGCATCAGATGGAAAACCGATGTTTTTCAAAACAGAAATCGATCCGACTTCATCGTATCTTGTACTAACTGATGCCAAAAGTCGAAATTTATATGTGATGCAAATTTTACAAGAAGAAGATGCCAAATCCGATGTGGCCGAAGTGGGTCAAAATGGAAGTACGACTACTTAAAAATGATTCCATCATTTATTGCAATTTCATTTATTTATTATAATTTCGATTTTTTTCTTCTGTATGTCTCCTCCAAAAAGGTCAAAATGGAACAAAACCGTATGCATTTATAAAATCAATCACTGAGTTTCCGGTGTCGTCCCCAATTCTTTCATTTAATATCGTTGATGCAACTGTTCGAAAATATAAATGCGCTTACAATGATGTTTACTTACTCGAAGATCTCGATGATTATGACGAAGACAACTTGAATCGATACTGTGTTGTGATTCATTTGTTTTTGGTGCAACCGAAAAGCGTACAAGAATGTCATGTGCTGTATCAACCTTCTTTGAGTGTAGATGCTGATGTTGGTAGCTCTATATCTGTACTGTCCGATAGTGGAAATAATGATCGTGAAGAGGAAGCACTGGTAAACGATTTGGCCTCAATGTTGAGTATAACGAAATCGTCTTCGCAAGACGACTCGTCGGGAAGTTCAATATCAAGTGTATCAAAATCGAATGTTCAAATCCGGGCATTGCTTGATTCGGCCAGTAGTGCAAGTGGTACGGAGAGTTGGCATTTGCCTTTCTATTATTAATTAATTCTTATTGATTCTTTTTCGATTATTTGTCGATTATTTTAAATTAATTGTATTCTTTTCTTTTGTAATTCTTCCCTTAGGTACGGAGAATTCGTCAAATGTGACCAAAACGACTGAACTAAGCAAGGGTGAAATAAATAAACCATCATCAGCTTTAAACTTGCTTACTCCAGATTCTTTCCATTCATCTGGTAAAATTACACCGGAAGGCGTCAGCAATGAGGTTTACTCAACCGTAAGTACACTTTGAAATATATCAGGGACTTTTTCAATATATGTGAGGACGAGCACTCTGAGTGAATAAAACAAGACGACAAATCATTTTAAAATTATTGAATATTAATTTCTGGACAATGGTCCAAAAATCCGTCCAAACTTACCTTTCAGTTACGTATGTTGGCTGGTGAGAAACCAGTGGAGAGCTCCAAAAAACCACTACTTTTGGTGAACAACAAGCAAGGCAGCGACGAATCTGACAAAGTACAACTAATGCAACAGGTTTCCGAGGAAAGCAATAATGGCAATAATGAAAAACTTTCGGAAATTGTGCCCCCATTACCACCGGCATCAATGCTCAACACTGGCGTTTCCGGTGGTTCAAGTCCAAGTCGTGAAGTGCAAGAGATTCTCTCACAAAAGGGTTCGGATTGCATTAATGACTTCTACAGTAATTCCATTGATATTCAAGACGATACAGATGCAAGCGGCAACAATTGTGATGCTGCCGATGGCAACGATGAAGAAAAAAATAGCAATCAAGACGATGACGAAACGTATACTCTGAACAATGGTAACACTTTATTTTCGAGTTTTTTTTTTGTTTACATACAATATCAATCAAAGCAGTCAAATGACGTTTGAATGTGATTTAATCGAAAAACAAAATTCTTACACTTTTTCACAGTGACCGAATCTGCTAATCAAGCAAGTGCTATTACCGCACCAAGCAAAATTGATTGGCCAGATGCACCAACTACAATGCAAACATTCAGTCATAATCCAGTAGCCACTGAAACAATCAACGACATTAACATCAAATTAGATCAACTGATGGAAATCATACAGACGCAAAATTGCCAATTATCGGAGCTTCGTAGTGAAGTGGCTGATTTGAAGAAGTCTCAGTCGAACGCTGTAGCCACATCAAAACAAACACAAAATGTTGACATTAATATACAGAAACTTGAACATCGTGTATCACGTTTGGTCGAAGAATATCTTTCACGGAACGAACGCGAACAAAACAAACGCCTTGAAAACTTCTTGATGACACGGTTAGTATTTTAAATGGATCAAAGTCATGACAACGAGGAAAAGTTAGAAAGCATATGATTATAAATAATTTGAATTGATTTTTAGAGACAATCAAGTTCGTGAGAATATTGTAATGGGACTGGGTCCGGTGTTGTGCAATCAGTTGAGCAGCCAATTGGCGCAAGTATTTGTTACAGAAATTCAGAAACATCTGCTGCCGGTCGTGGGCGCTCGTTTGGATGGAATCAAAGCACAAATTCAATCTGAAATCGCACAGAAGCTCACCATCACCGATAAAGTCATCAAAGAAAATATATCGAACATTTGTAAGAGCAAAGTAAGTGCATATGAATGCAATCATTTTTGGAAACAAAAATTTAAGCAATAAGCATTTTTAATAGTTTTCTTAAAAATGATGTGATACAGTTATAATAATGTCTAAAATATTTGACTAATCTGCAGGAAACGTCTGATATTTTTGGCCATGCCGTTGTAAATGGCATAAAATCGGGATTGCAACAAATCTATATTGAATCCATGAGATCTGTAATTTTGCCGGCATACGAAAAGGCCAATGCTGAACTCTTCAAACAACTTTATGACACCTTCAATAAGGGAACCATCGCATGTAATTATCATTTCATTAAATATTCATATTTATTTCACTGGTATTTCTCTATTCATAACAAAATATTGTCTGTTGTTCTTTTAGACGCCAACCAAATGGCAAACTACACAAAAATGTATGAGCCAATTCATGCTGAATTGATAAACATTATGCAAACGGTACCAGAACCTTTCTATTATTTAATAATTCTTTTTCGATTAATTTCGATTATTCACCAAATATTTTTTGATTATTCGTTCTTTTCTTCCCTTAGGTACCAGAACAATTGCGAAGTTTAAACGAAGCATCGGTCAATGTATGTACTCAACGTGTTAGCAATGAAATCAACAAAGATATCAAGACAATGCAAGTGAATCTCTTGAAAACGCTGAAAGAAAACATTAAAATGGAGGTTTGTCATTTCACTTCGATCTATTTCTATATCCGATCCAACGAGTAATGTATTCCATTTATATTTAGATTAAAAAAGGTTTCGAAACACAGGCGGCAAATTTGGAAGATTCGGTGATGATGGCGGTATGATCGTCTATTACATGTTGATTAATTTCCATTATTTAAATTTTTCATTTCTGATTCATTCCCAGGTACGGTCTCAAGCTCAAACACCCGCACCAAGTGTATTTGATGTGCAAGAACAAATCAAAGCATTGTTGCATCAAGGTCAAGTCAACAAAGCGTTCCATCAGGCATTGCAGGCAAACGATTTACATTTGGTTGAGTACGTCCTTGAGCGTGCCGATATTAATCAAGTATTCAATCCATGCTCGCTCGAACAGACCGTCTTATTGTCGTTGATACAACAAATATCGGCCGATATGTTAAATCACAGCGAACTGAAGCAAAAGTAATTGTCCTGTCATACTTACTGATTGATTAATTTCCATTTTCTGTTCTGTTCCATTACTTATTGATTAATTTCCATTTTTTTCATTCTTTTCTTCTGATCATCTTTAGGTATTTGTCCGATGCCATAATCAATTTAAATATGCGTGATCAAATCACCAAAGAGCATTCGCCAAAAGTCCTCAAAGATCTACTATCAAATTGTCAAATCTATTTGTCGGCCAATCCACATAGTCCACTCAGCAGTAATGTTCGTGTGCTCATTATGGCTGTTCAAGGTTTTGGCATCACTTCTATGTGACACGAGCGCAAGAAGCGTTAACAGAATGAATCATCGACCACAACATAAACATTACCATAATTTACTCTATATTACACATTTCTGTCGTCTTTCAAAACCTCAAGAACATTTAAGTCCAATTCTGGACATTTCGACATTTGATATAAGAATACTATTAGAACAACATTATTTTCTTTTTCCATTTTATGTTGAAATAACTTATATAAAACGATTTAAAGGTGATTACAACACAAAGCAAATCATAAAAATGTTATTTTGTTTCGACGACCATTTCTATGGACATTTAAAAAAAAAATTATTGAATAAATCATCAAACTACATTTCTTATTTGAAAAATAAAAATTTGAAAATCTTAACCGTGTGTTAGTATTTATTTGACTGAAATATTTCTTTAATATGAGATGGAATTTTGACTCGTTTTCGTTTCGTTTTTTCAATTGTTTTATTTTGAATGTTGTCGATGCTCGATTTTTTCAAGGTAACGCCTGCATTTGGTTTTTTCTTTTTCTTTTTGCACGACAATGGATTTGGTTGTTTCTTTTTCTTCTTCTTTTTCTTCAAATCGGTCTTAGTATCCTCGGCAACTGGTAAGCCTTCGCTCTTCTTTAAGGCAACTAAAAAATGGGTACATGTTGGCAAATTTTAGTTTACTTGTTTCTCATCATACTGTATTTTGTGTGCAAAAACATACCAAGTTTTTTCTCATCGGCAGTTCCAAAATTGAATGACTCGTTCAATTTAAATTCCACCGTTTTTCGACTCAGTTCAGATGGTTGCTCCAAGACTGGTGTTTTCTTGTGCAAATACATAATGGGTTGACCCGGTTTTTTCCGTAAATATTCTTGCAGCTCACGATCCTAGAATTCGATTATTGGTTTTTTATTATTTTCGACTGAAATATATGTCTACTCTCTACTGTAAAGTACAAACCTGCGTTGCAATTACATAACGATTGTTTTTTATCTAAAAATAAATGGAGTTGATATAGCGAATAAAACATTTATTTATGAAGTAAATATTTGTTTTGAAATACTAACCATCGATTTGATGCAAGCAATACCACTTTTTGGACCCTTCTCGTGACCACATTTGTGAACTAAAAACTGTTTGACAATATTTGTTGCTCCTTGCACTTTTGATCCAAGACTTTCCGCTTCTAAAATTATGCATTGTGTTGTAACCAGCCTTGTTTCAGCTTGAAAATATTTGGGAAGTTGATCTTTAATGCCGATTTGAAACTAAAATTATAAACACAGATTAAGAGGTTAGGCGATACAAAACAATTAACACAACAAATGATTGTCTTACGATCAAAGCAGTTTGGCAAAATGTAGCATCAATTAATATTTGATATGGTTCTCGAAATCCGAAATTATTTCGATAAAAACTAAGAGTCTTTTGCGCTTTCTTATATCTTGCTATTTTCATTGTAAAAATTAAAGAAATTTAATACGATATGCAGCGATGAATTTCTTACTACAGAAACATCAACAACATTTTGACAACTACTGTCAAATTATGTCTACACGTGCTTCAGTACTGCGCAGGGTTGGATTCGTTTGCGTACGTATACGAATTGTTTTTTTTCTTCTATGTTTGCAGTTACTTTGCCAATATTTGGGATTGATTTTAAGCCACCAGTTAATTGTTTCGTATATTTTGATTGTATTCCTGATTATAACGTGTATTCTCGAGAAGATTGCGCACAAAAAGGCAATTATTTTTCTAATTATTGATTTGATCGCCGCTCCACAGAGATGTTTTCAGAATAAATATATGTACAATGAGAGTGTTTCCCATATCTATAGTTAAAAAAATGGTATGTTTCAATTTAAAGAGCATAAAATTCTGTTTTAAGTCGTAGCATTAATGCAAAGCACCGATTGATATTGACACTTCCCGAAGCAAAAAACTCTTTAAAGCAAAAACTCTTTAAAGCAAATGAAGCCATTGAAGAGAAATACCTGCCAAGTGACATCGACTGTGTGGTGAAACTCATTCTCAAGGAAAAGGTATGTTGAAAATGTTTATTCAAATTATGAAAAGAACTCAGTTTTCAATGGTTCATATTATTTAAGCTTACAATGGTTTTTTTTGACTCGTTGACAAATGTTTATAAAAATGAATTTATTCTATTTCCCTTGTTTCATTGAAAAAGGTCATCAAAGTGCCAGCTAGTGACCCAAATAAACTTTATCGGTGCGGAGTTTTGTATGACATCGTCAATAAGTTGAATGTGTTCCCGGAAATCGACCTACATGATCTCACGACCAATTCAAAAAATTGGTTCAAAGCTGTGCCGATGTATCTATCTATGCAACGCGAGATAGAAGAATTTAATTTGCTGCGAGCACTTCAAGAGCCACCGAAGAAACGCAAAAAGAGAAAGCGCAGAAGACCGAAGGGTAAGAAACGAAAGTGGTTCATCAAACGAAAACAAATGCTCGATGATTTGGAATATCTACCGTGCATTCGCAATTTGGTGGTAGTTCCGATGTGTGATTTTCGGCGTACGCACTTCAAAATCGACTCTTCGAGTATGTATCAGATCTTGTATTCTCAAAAATTGATTCCGAAACAGTTAACTGAAGACGGAAAACCAAGTGACAAAAATATTTCACAAAAGGTTTTCAACGAGAATAAAGATTACATATGGAATCAGTATTTTTATATGCGTAAAATTCGGTGGTTTGTCCGCCGCAAAAAGAAATTTGACTTTTCGATAAACAGCGATTGAATTGCTGTGTCTCTGCAGTATTCCACCAAAAAGAAGGAGACCAGCAACACACAATCAGGCACCAGTCGATTGGACATCGTTGACATGTTGAAGGCGGGCAAATTCAAAAGATTGGGAGGTACAGATTCAGGCATGCGGAACTGGAATACCACAACAATACTTACAAAGAAGTATGTGTTGTATATGGGATGATGATGATGATGATGCACATTGTGCTTGAATTTACTAATTTTTTTTTTTTCGATTTATTTGCAGATCAACTTTGTAAAAAAGAGCAAGCAGTTCCATTGGGAGACACATCAAAACGTACGAAACGCAAAAGCGAAGCGATTTACAAAACATTTCATCGAGAAAGAAAGACAAGATCGAGAGAATCGTGAGCTGTACGCAATGATGCCATCACCAAAAGGTTCACAGTGGCTGAGCTATATTAAACTAGACTCGCCTTGGACAAATACATTACGAGCAACAAAGCTATCGACGGATTTGTGAACAAGATCACCAATAAGGAACCGACTCTGTTATTCCATGGTGCTGATGGCGAAGTACCACCTGATTGCCCGATAAGAATTAAAAAACACGTGCGGTGTCCGGGTGTACGCAAACTGATGCAGGCATATATGAAGCGACCATACATTGTTGTCGTGCCGGTGGACGAATGGGGAACATCTCAAACAGATGCAAGATGTATGTGCCGATTCCAAAACCAACCCAAATCGGCCAAATTCAAGATATGTCGTTGCATACCCAACGCCATAACACTGTTGCCAACCAAAATTGTGTCTAAGTTTGGCAAGACAGATACATCTACATATCGACAGTTACAACGCACATTGAACGGAGCATTTGAAATAGAAGAGCTAATGTCAAGAGTAAAACCTTACTACAAAAAATGGCAATTAGACCTCGAATGCACCGTGACTTGGCATCGTGACGTCGTGGCTGCTAAGAACATTCTACTGAAAGGTAAGGATATTGATACACAATGTGATTGAATGATCGCAGAAAAAGACTCATTTTTTCGATTGATCAGGACTATGGACATTGCTTGGACTTCCAATACCTGCTGCAATCAACCGATATTGGAATCAAATCAACGCCGATGCCGCCGTCTTCGATGACGATAACGACGTAGACATATCCGAGCCCGAGTTCGAATAGCTCAAGCGACAAAACAGAATGTCTGATGTGCTAAATTCGGTACATTCGACGAAAAAAGAAGAAGAAGTATAAGAAGAAGTAGTAGTTTTTGGTACTTTTTGCGGTATATATGCGGTACATAGGATGTTTACGTTGATATATTGGTATATGGGTTTTGCTAGCGCGGTGAATCAGAAAAATTGTGTGACGGCTTGGCAAATCTCATGTACACCCATGGCACAAATAATAATCGTCACAAATTTCGGTATATTTCATGTGCTGATTTTGGTATATTGGTAATGCTGTCATAATACGTAGCACAATAATTATACTGTTTTTGGTACATGAGACGTACTAACGATCTTCTAGTACAACGCATGTACAATTTTTGGAATATGTGTTTGACTGGTACATTGCATACAGACATTTTGGATATGTTATGAGCTCCTGGTTTTTCATATAAGCCATATTTGGAACTATTCATATACTTTAACATCCGTGACCATTTAATGTATTGTTTGGTCTAACCAATGTACTACCGCCATATTACTTTTCCGCACACACCTAGTGTGTAAGGTAAAGTATTGGAATCGGTCGAAAAATTAACACCCTAAAAAAACATGTTTTCTGGGTGTTTCAGGAGCCAGGGAACACGAATCTAGCGTTTTTTCGATGTCCGAATGTATGTGCGTGGTACCCTGTACGCTGTACGCTGTACGCTGTACGCAAAAATTTGTTAACACGATAACTTTCAAACAAGAAAAGTAATTCAAAATCTGACTTCACAGGATGATTGGGGGTGCCGAGGAATAGAAACCATTAGATTTTGAGCAACTTTGGTTGACAGAGTAAAGTGTCATGTCTGGTGTGATGCCCATGGCCATCCATGGGAAAAATTCAATTTTTCTTCCAAAAGTGATATTTAATGTATACTTAAACACTCAAAAATGTGTAATGGGGGGTTTTTGGGTACGAGAAAACCGAATATGACGTTATTTTTGCGATACGAATAACTTTCGACACACTTTTCATACAAAAATGTCAAAAATTTTGGATTTTTGTATGAAAGCCATGCCTGTATGATATCGTAATGAGCTGAAACTTTGCACAGGTTATTTTTATCACAAAAAAATATCATTTCGAGAGTTTGAAGACATTTCAACGCATATTAGAGGTATCTCCCGAACAAAATTTTGAATTTTTCGCTCAAAAACGAAACTTTGTATGGGAAGTACCCTTAATATGTATTGAAATTTCTTCAAATTTTCAGAATGTTAACTTTTTGTGAAAAAAATAACCTCTGCAAAGTTTTCACATGATTACGATATCATATAGGCATGGCTGCGATACAAATATTCCCATTTTTATCGTAAAACCAACGATTGGAAACGCTGTAGTTCACCATGTCAGTGTTTAATTGAGGAGGGCGGCTCCACCGTCTATACATACAAATGTCCATTTAAATCAGCGCCATCTACGCTAAAACATACTTTTGGTTGAAAATAAAACGCCATCATATTCCGACATTGCGTAAAACTAATGTCAGATTCAGTTTTCTCGTAAATTCTTTGAGCAAAGGATTTTTAATAAATGCATGTTGTGGATCCAACCGGCTAAGCCTATGAAGAGACAAAATGCGAATTCCCCTCATCTGTGCCATCTTGTATTCCATAGTTGAACTCAATTTAGTTACAATGAATTGAATCGAAAAAGAGAAAAAAAAAACAACAACAGTAACATGGCTACATAGATCTGTTGACCAGTGAGATACGTATAACAATGGAATGAAAGAATGAAGAAAGCGTATATGTGTATGTATGCATCAGCACGCATAGATGTACAGCTCTGTGTGGCCGTGCTATTGTTGTTGTTTTTTCTCTTTTTCATTTCAATGCTACAGAATTAAATTCAGTTTTTCGATCTTTTTCGAACTAATGTGAGGTGGCGCTGATCAGCTGCGTTCGCATAAAAAAGTTCCCAATTTCATATACGCCAACCCCGCTTGTGTGGATTACAGTGCGGAAAAGTTCATCTTACGGATGTAAGACATTTTATTTTTCATAAATGTTGATCATGAACAAGGCAAAAATGGCTGATTTTTTTGTAGAAGAAAATTAATTACAATGAAATTTCAATTTTTTGAAAGATTTTGGGTCGGAAATCAGAAAAAAAATTAATGAATTTTATTCATGATAGACTTAATAAAAATATTTTTGTTTGAAAAATATTTGGAATTAAGAATGAGATTTTTTTAAATTTTTTAGAGATTTTATTTAAATCTACAGAATTTCAGAGGCGCGTAAATTATTAAGAAGCAAAACGAAATTTCGTTCGAGAAAGTGCATTTTCTTTGTTTTTTTACGAACAGAATTGGGCAAAAATCCTATTTTGATTTCAACTATTTCAATGTTATAAAATGTTATTATCATCATGTGAAAATTTTATTGTTGAATAGCGCAGTCTTATTATTCATTTTTATTTTTGGAATATTTGAAATACCAAATTAATATGTTTTGAGATCGTCCGGTTCATTGTAAATACTGCTAATATTAACATATAGCACATTGAATGTTCCAATTTTTGTTCCAAATGTCTTTCCTATATACCATTTTGTTACAATAAATCAAAAGAAAGTCGGTACTTATAAAAAACTGATTTTAGTACATCTGATGAGCAATAGAAAATTGAATGAACCATTTTTGGTACTTCTTACACGCTAAAATCAGATGTACTTTTTAAATGTAAAAGTGGAGACACTCTGCACGTCAGATGTACCGGTACATCTGACAAAATTTTGTCGCTTGAGAGCAGCCAACTAATCATCACAATACCATACAATAAAATAAAATCATAAGTAACATTTGTTACGTAACTGCTATCCCGAATATGTGGGTTAGTTATGCACAAAAAAAGTCATTTCCCATTTGGTTGAGATGGCTGTGCGGAAGTACAAACAGAGCGTTTTTCCATTGTAAGTATCATTAGATTTTGAAAACAGTTTTTTGCTTCAGGAAGTGCTAACATCAATCGCTTCGTTGTATAAATGCCATTAACTAACATAGAATTTTGCCTACTTTAAATTAATAAATACCATTTTTCTATTTACAGATATGGGAAACACCCCAAATTGTACATTTTTTTGAGTTTGCTTCATTTTTTTGCCGAAAAGTGTTAAAATTGATTTCTTTCCATAAAATGTATGCCATAAATATCTTAAGGAATAAATTTTGAAATTGTTTAACATTTTTCGAATGATCAAATGTAAAAAATATGTTTTTGTATATATTTTTTATTATTATATTTTGTTGGTTCCAATTTTGTATTGATTTCCGTTAAAATTATTAATTAATTAAAAAATTCGATTATTGATTGTTTATATTTTCGATTGAAATGCATATAAAATTACAAAATATAAAATAAATAATTTTGTTTATTCACATTTACGATAATTTTAATTGTCGACCATTTGGGCGTATCGTTAATACTTAAGTAGTAGAACAGAAAGTGAAATTAATCTTTTTTGAAGAAAAAAGATAAACCATAATTATTTTATTCGGAATCAGAATAGCGGTGTAATAGAAGAAATTCAGATGGGTTTTCAAATTTAAAAGACAATGGAACAAAAGGCTGATAAAAATTGAAAATTGTAAATGCAAGAAGAGTTCAAAATAACAAAAGCGGTCTTCATTGTACGTTTCATATACGGTTCGTAAACAGTTATGCATGGTTTATGCCTGGTCAAATGCATAAAATTTGGGTAAATAAAGTGTTCATATGTAGAAATTGTATGCGTGTGCATGTATACCTAAGTGTACCTATATGGTCATAATTGGAGTCATAATTGTTTATTCAAATGAAAAGAAAGAATTTTATTTGAGCGACCGCATAGAAAACCCGTTTTTAAAAGCCATCTCTTTGTATATACAAACATACAAATGTGTAATACATAAAAGTAGAAGAAATAACAAAGCATAATACCAATACTCGATGGCGGCATTTTACGCGCACGTGTATATGTATTTATGTGTGAGTGCGGAACGGAATACAAAATTGTGTATAAATATATAGGCGAGATGGCAGTTTCTTGTTGCATATTTTAATTTTCTTTTCCCAATATCGACCGCCACAAAATCGACTACAGTTGAAAGATACGCTGATTATGTTTCCAGTCTTAACAGCACAGTTGTTGGTGACGCAACATCCATTTTTATATTTACACTTTCAGCAGCACACCATCCATCGCAAAGTCAACGCAAAAATTCAAAAATTTCATCACATTCATTTGTTTCTCTTTAATTTTCTTTTTGATTTCACTACCAAACACGTTAATCACCCAATTAGTGAGATACCAAGATTAATTATAAAGTGAGATAAAAATTTAGTTGAGTAAACAGTTTGATTTGTTTTTTTTTTTTTGTTTTTTTTTGAAGAACAAAAAAATTTGGCCGAATTGAAAAGAATAAACAATATTGCGCCACGGATACAGAACACAAGAAAAAAAATACAAAGGAAGATGAAATAAAATTCGTCGATATTTATAAGAAATAGTTTTTGAATTGAATTGGTGAGACCAAAGTTTTTTTTAAGGAAAACCGGTTTTTTGTTCAGTGATCGTAACGTATGTTTTGAAAGATTTCAAATTCTATTGGCGTTTGGTTCATATGGAGTGCTTATTTTGCATTTTCTGTGTACATGTGTGTACATACGCGTTTATGTACTTGTGTTGCACATCGTGCACATTGTTTTATGTAGTGAATGCTTTATCGTTTTTTTATATCGACCCACTAACATCGAAAGCAAACATGTTTCTCACTTTCAACTGATTTACTGATCAAATAATTTATGTTCATTTCATTAATTCCATTCCGAATTTGATCCAATTGGTGAAAACAAAAAGGCATTTGACCGACAAACTTTAGTAGTAAAGCTATTTCCTGAAGAGCATGTAATTCAATTGTTACCATACTAAATTCAAAGTTCATTTTCAAAAAGACAGAAAAAAACAACTGGTTGAAAACAAAAAAAGAAATATTTTCATTCAAATAAATATCTCAGACATTTTCCGTCAGAACACAAACAATATTTTCGATTTTTCTGTAAATGAATATTCAAAAAGGATGTTTTTCTTCTGTTGTCTTTTTCTGAGAAAGTCTGACGAATAGAATGATTATTTTGAGCGCCATACTTCTTAGAAAGAGAGAGAGTAATTATGTGCAGGTGTGCGTCCAACCAAAATACGGGTCGGTCATTTTCGCAATTAAGTATAATTTCGACGATATTTCTTAACTGATGTGACAAATTGCATCAATGAATCAGTTTGATTTAAATGTGATTCGACAAGACATGTGATGAGTTTTCATGCTTCAGTGAAAATTAGACGCCTTCACATTTTTGCCGATTTCATTTCATCGCGCCATATCGATGTTTGTACATCTAATCATTTATCACAAAAGTGAATGAATTAATTGCCACATCTGTAGTTTGTGATCCCAATATTTGGTGATTGTGTCGTGTCAACAAAAATATGTAAACCTAACGAATATACATCGAGTGAGAAAGAGAGTGAAATTATGAGGGTGTGAACGTATACTACTCAATGCTCGCAATAATTTGTTGTTGTTTGCACAACGATTTCGAGACAATGCTTGATGTTATTTTTGAAACGATACCAATTCCTTTCAATGTATCTCAAGCATAGCACATAGCTCATGCACGATGTATAAACATTTTTTTATGTCGTCATCGAAATCATCACAACCACAACGTCGATGTTATTTATTGGCATTTATTGTGAAAAGTTTTCTCTCTTATTCTACAATAAATAAGTAACATCTCTCTTTCTCTATCGCCGAAATTTCACGAGCATTTTAAATTATTTAGGCGACATCCTCAGATAGGTATTTCGTTTTTGCTTTTTTCTGTATATTCCCCAATGGGTTGTTTTCTATCTTGTTGGCGTTGTGCCCGTTTTGATTGTAAAACCGAGGAATACATCATCGAACTCAATATTCGCGGTTTCGGTCAAGCGTGCATGTTCAAAGTGCCGCACAATCCCAAACAATCAGTATAAACTCGAAAATGGTGCGAACGCATGGTTGATGCGAATTAGTAAAGAAAAAAAACGATTTATTTACAACGTGAAATTCTTTGAGATATATTCAGTGCGTTTGAGCGTGTTAACTGTAAAGTGAATTATTATTATAGAATGTTTTCGACAAAGTGCTTAGCTTAAATGACAAACATACAACGAAAAGTGACAATTTAATTCAAGTTTAAAACTATAAACAATTCATTGAAGTGATGTCTCGATTAAATCGAAAACAACAACAAGACAAACTTGAGCTACTTTCAAGCTTAAATCACATGAATAATTGCATCGGTTCAAGGCATGCTGCTGAAAATCGTAAGTGTTCTAAGTTTTACATGAAATAATTTTTTGTTCCCCTGTTGGAATTGGAGAATGCGTCTTAAATTGATAGATTTTTAGAAAAACATCTAAAATAATTTGCCGGTAAATCGAAATTTTATGAACCACAGTGAAGATATTTTAATTGATTTCATGCTATACATTCATCTGAATGAAATTTTTTTCGGCTGAGCTAATTTTTTCATTGGTTTTCCCTTCAACAAATTGTCCATATGATGCGAACCGATTTATAGATTGTTTATTTCGCTTCTTCCTTCAACAATGATTATCTGAAGATATTTTATGTTTTATTAATGTGCCACTCACAAATGGTTTATGGAAAACGTTTGTGCTTTAAATAAGATTTAAAAAAAAACGAACTTTATGACCCTGCGTAACATTGAGCATTTCAACAGTTGATTGAAGTGTTCTACGCAATGTTTGTTTATGGTGAGCGTTCGAAAACCAAATAAACTTTCATTAGTACATGCAACAGAACTGATTGAAAACTAATCTAATGAAACTTTCATTCGAATTGATATGGTGATTTTTATTACAATACGATGGGAGAGGCGGAAATGTTCTTTTAATATTATTCTCTCATTTTATATACCGTTGATCATCGTTCAATGATTTATGACTTTTATACATGTACATGCGTCTTGTGTTTTTGTTTGGCTTTGTTCTGTTTGCCAAGAGAGTGTTGTGGCGCAGAGTCGCTCTTCATCGTTAAAATGTAATGCAATCGATTGGTTTATGTTTGCTTCATAAAATCATTTTACTACCATACATCTTTGTTTTACAATTTTTATGTTCGGATTGATTTATAATTTGGAATACCGCTGTTATCATGTAAAAAAATGGCGTATTAAAATTGTAATGCACTCAGATGTAAAGTGCTCTCTTTGATCTGATATGCGATTAAATTTATTATAAATGGTCCAAATATATATCGGAGAAATGGCTTTAGTATGAACAGTTGAACACACATAATCCACTTACCGTCATGAAAACGTAAAATAATGACAAACAATTTATATTTTTAGCTTGCAATTCATTTATTTTGTTGAGTGCAATGTGTGTGCTGACACAAATATTCACAAACATGCAAAAGAAACTGCAGTCATCAGTGTCTTCTATCTTGTCATTTGAAACCAATGAAACAGCATGGGCTATCATAGTACGTGAGAAACAAATAAATAGCCCGTTTGACGATATGGCTTGAATTCAACCATGCATAACTTATGTGAACGCATTTTGTTGTAGAAAAAAAACCAAACGCATTTTTCAGTCGCGACTCTTTTATAAAAATAACACAATGAAATTTATATAATTTACGATCATTGTTCTGAAAGTTGAAGCTGCCAATTTTTGCCGAGCAACATGTCATTTTTAAATTCCGTAAATCATTGATTCTCCTACCGAAAAAAATTCATATATTTGCCGTCAACCGCAAAAACGTGCGTTTCAAAATAGAATCAAGCAGCTGACATTCAAAGTTCTTTATAATTTAATTCTATATTTAAATCTACAGATTAAAATGAACAGCTTCTTGAATTTGGGATTGAGTGATCCCACATTTTAGCAATTAAAGTAACCTTTTCACAATTTGAAGTGTGTGCCAAATTGCCTATTGACTAATAGGACCAGAAGAAAACACAGTACACCCACAAGCATATTGAAAGTGCGTGAAATTATTATTTCATTCCGTATGTGTGAATGAGATGAGGTGATAGAAAAAAAACGAGCATTTTTTTCTGAAAACTAAATTTATTATTATTGATTCAATATTATTGTATAAATCATATGACGACTGACTCTGAATATAGCAAGACCAAGAATATGTATGTCTATGTTCTTGAAAATGGTCCCTTTTATGAGATAATATCAACAATTTGTGTCACTTATTATGTTTCCTATACAGGGTGTTTCATATAAGTGGGCCACTTTTATAGAGTGGTAATTTCGAAAAACTCTTTTGGGGGATATTTTGAGGGTGAAAAACTAAGAATTGTGGCTCAGCCGGATTTTTGAATTTTTTCCCAGGTGGTGGAGGGGGGGTCGATTATCCTCAAAAATGTGTCCAAATCGGTCAAAATAAAGTCAAACATAAATTCGAATGATTGAACGCTCTAGAATAAAAACAACTTATTGTTTACTCGCATATCGAAACGCGACTCAAAACGGTTGCATATCAAAGCGAGACAATATTTCGTTACCAAAGGAATAAAGAACATTGACTTTTTATTATACAAAATGTGTAAGTTTCATTTTGTGCTGATAACTAGCTACTGTTCTGCCTTGTTTTAGTAACAGAATTTTGTTTCGCTTTGATATGCGACGCAGTTTAACGGTATAAATATTTCACACTCTCGAAGGCTCGGTATAGAACACACAAAAAGTGAAAAAAAACTTCTTATTCTCAAATTTCATAAACAATCAAATGGATTGTATCAGCAATTTTTATTACGCAGTTGTGTGTCAATAGAACGTTGTTTGTAAACACAATGCCATGCATTAAGAAATAACATGTAAGGGTGAGTTAGATAGCATTGAACAACGATTTGGGTGACAGAAATATCAAATTTTTACAATCAGTCGCACCAGATGATATAGGCCATTTAGTTGTGCATAAAAATTGAGAAAAGAAATCAGATTTTTTTTTCACTTTTTATGCTCTATACGGAGTCTCCGAGAGTTTCATATAAACTCGCCTTGCAATAGCCAAATGACGCCTATCGATTCAATCGATTGGTATTCGCTTTTTTTTCATGTGGAAACACCCTAGTGTGCACGCATTCCGAATATGCTCGGGTGGAATTGCAGCACATTCATCTCGAATGCGCTGTTTCATCGCTTCGGCGTTTGGTGGCATATTTTCATAGATATTTTCTTTGAGATATCCCCAAAGAAAAAAATCTAGTGGCGTGCTATCCGGTGATCGCGCCGGCCAGACTGGGAGCGGAGACTCCGGAGACTTCTCCGCAGGCAGATATCGATCCACCAGGACGACGCGATTCGGAAACATCGTTTCGAGCCGCCTCTTAACACGTTTGGTGTTGTGTGCTGGTGCTCCATCCTGGTGAAATATCAATCTTTCTCGATTGATATGATCTGGAAAAATTTGAGCAAAAAAATGGGTATAGCTGTATTTTGATGGCTCTAGCCGGCTCGAACCAAAATGAAATGTTCTGAAAACTATTCTATCTTGTAGAGACAGACTCCAGGAACACGATAGAAGCAAAAAAAATAAGTCCCCTAATTCATGACCCCTTCCCCTCCCCCCTTGCATTTTGATTGACCTACAAATCGGTCTATCTTGTAGAGGAAGACCCCTAGAATACAGTGCAATCATAAATCGATAATTATCGTAATTTATGTTTGACTTCATTTTGACCGATTTGGACACATACTCATTTTTGAGGAAAATCGACCCCCCTCCACCCCCTGGGAAAAAATTCAAAAAAGTGGCCCACTTATATGAAACACCCTGTGTATTTGCGGTGTGTCAATAAGAAGTGATCTCTTTCCCAAGAGTAAAATAACATTACAATACTGGCAATCGTTTTCACCATTTGCACTTAACGCACGACTTATTTGCGGCTCAAATGTATCTTTTGTGGACATTTTCCGAAACATTTACCATAAATGAGCGCATCAGTACACGTATATCAATTTCCCTTGTCCTATTGAAGCCAGAAAAGTTTCTTCCAATCTACAGCCAATAAAGCTAATAGGAAAAGTAAATTGCTTTCGGTTAAGATATAGAAACTGCTACATTTATTCGTCGGAAATTTTCCTCCTATCCAACAAATTCGACTTATTGCGCAAGTAGTTATTCAACACATAATTAGATTGCGTGAAATGTTCAGTCTCAATAGCCATTTGGTTCATTTTAATCTTCAAAAATTCATGTCACATTCAATTAAACACTTAATAAACTTATTATATGCTGTACAGCAATTGGTTCAATGCAAAGAACCGTTTAAATTTTCGATTTTCCAAAATGTGGTGTAAAAGATAATAGACTGGTTTTTCGATTAGCTACAGTTCCAAGCAATTTATGGATTCAAAAATTCAATTCAATTCATGGATTATTTCCTTTGATAATGTTTATTGGCAAAGTGATGTCGTTATAATGGCCAATTACAAGCGTCATGCAAATTACTTCTAAGAAAAGAATATTCCATAGAAAAACATTTGCTGAAATCAATATCGAAATAGAATCATTCTCTCAAGTATCTTCAATTCAAATAATTGCCATAAAAATAAATAGATCAACGTCGTTTGAACCGACTCGTCTTATTCTCTTTCAAAAGCGTTGTTTCTATTTCAAAAAAGCACACATCAAGAAAACTTCATATCATAAATGTCAAATATTCAAATTCTAAAAAACAATTCGCGGAAATTTGGGCCCATTTTCAAAGCAATCATCAACATTTTTATTTTCGAGTGACAGTTAATTTCGAAAGTATTGATTGTTTGAAGTGTTGAAATAATGGCAATTTTCTAATATTATTGTGTTTATTTTTCTTTCAGAGGCATTTCAATGTTCAGAAATTAATGATACAAATGGCTTCGACGAAACCGATTTGGTGTTTTTAAAAGGAATTTTAGCAAATCCTGCTGTAACACAAACATTCAAAGTAAGTAATTCTTTTTTTAATTTCTTGTGATTGAAAATCGTCGTCACTTAACATCTACATAAAAACGTGTCAATAAAAATGTGAAGAAAAAAAACCAGGTTGAAGTTTTACTTTTGTTAAAAAGCATCGATTTTTTAAGTGAAACCCATATTTTTATTGGCTGATGCTAAAAATGCAAAATGTATTTCGTTATTCAAGTTATTCGTTGTGATACACGGCCATGCAGATCATTCCGTTTGTATGATGCGTATTCCATGTACGCACACCTAAATATATACATTAAAGCACATTTGACTTCTTTTATACATACGTACTCATTCGTCAAACAAATAAGTATAGTGATTGTAATCATGCTGACGAAATGAGCATCATGCATTTTTCGCTTAATAATGCAGTCAATAGCATGCTAACCCAGCCATTGCACTGACACGATATGTCAAACCATATTCTTTTCGAAAATTTCAAAGGTTTAAAAAGATTCTTTCCAAAAAAAGTATTTGCCAACAAACAAAAGAAAAATATAAATAAAACATTTTAACTAAATAATGCGTTCTAGACAAATCAAGTGCATTGATAGTACATCTGAGGTGGCCAATGGCCATTGCCAAAGAAGATCGCAACCATCACATTCGAATTGTGTGCGCAGTAAAGTAAACTGTACACACCTTAACATATACAACTAAATAAATTTGGTGAACATTCTTATTCTTTGGTACATCGAACCGAACATCGACATAACGAAATCGAAAATGTGTATGGAAAACACAATACAAAAAAATTGTGTAACATAAAGCAAAGAAACGTAAAATGTGCCTTGAGTTTAGCTTGAAATTCGTTCGCATACATGTATGAAAATACGAAAAGCCAATACACTGGCTTTGTCATGGTAACATACAAACAAGCCAAAACTTTTATAGGTGAAATGCTTCATTCTACAGCACTAAAAGTAAACGAAAGGTATGTGAAAACGAAATGAATGATAACTAAATACGCACACATCGATGTGTTTGTGTGTTTTTTTTGTGTATTGTTGTTTTTGTTGCTGCTATTTTTCGTGTGGTTTCTATACACAACTCATCGTGGTCATATTTTGAATAGTTGTTTTGAATCAACTGCAAGTTTCTTTAATTTCACATACACACCACACACCGTATACGACAAATACACGCTATGCACAAGTATTCGTTCAAACAATTTGTGTGTATTTTAACTCACATACACTCTGAGTTTTTACCTTAAACGATGTTCAACTTCAACCACTTGTTCAGTATATGATTCGATCGTGTTCAACGCGTAATTCTCGTATTTTTTTTTGCTGGAGTTAAATTCAAATTGGAATTTCTCGCTTTTGGGAGACATTAATACATGAAATTTTTTGGGTAAAAAAAATGTTTATTGTTTCTTTGTTGTTTTATTTTTATATTGTCAGTGTGTGTAATTAAGAAAAATATTTTCCACGAGAAATTTGGTGCCGTTTTGAATTTATTTTTGAAATAAAAAATTATATATTTGTCAAACAATTTGCATGCAGTCACGTTCAAAAATTTTGTGAATGGCGATTTATAGAGTGGAGGGAAAACTGATAAGGTCATTTCAAATAACTTGTAGAGAATATAAAAAATTACATTCGTCGTAATTAAAAGTGTATGCTAAGTAAGAAAGAAAAATTGAAGAAAATATACCGTCAAAAGCACCAACTACAATCTAATTTATAAAGACAAATATTTAAGGTGTGTTTCTTGTGACTCAATACAGTTGGATGTGTATTGGTGATATGGCAATTTGTTTGTTCGATATCGCATGAAACTTGGAATGTTTACTCTAGTACACAGGAACGGACAATTATCGATTTGTGATGGCAATAAAAGTAGTAAAATCTGGTGTGTTTTCGTTCAACGACGCAGAGGATCCACTGCGTTAATTGTTTATGTAAAAATCAAAGTGTAAATATACGGTTGCCTCAGTGCATTGCGCCATCTCGATGAATACATGCAAAATAGTATTTCATCATCATAGCAGTGGACGGAACTATAAAGATATATGTTTTAAATGACTAAAAAGTGACGTCACCTGAGTGACAGAGAGAGATAAAAGAAAAAAAAGAAAAAGACTCACTGTGTTTATATAGTTTTCGTTGTATCTTTTCTTATGTCGCGTCGTTTTCTTCTTTTATGAGTGGACCGTACGTTCGTTCAGAGTTTTGCGTTTCACCGTTGCTTGAAATTGCTATTCACACTTATACAAATATATATGAGCACGAATATTGTAAATTATATTTTCGCATTTCTTAGATTTCCAATGCAATTATTGTGCATTGCACACATACACCGCGAAGCATTCAGTTTCTGTCTCTCAAAAACTCGTTTTCTTAATTTTCAACTGTATAAGTTTAATGTATAATAATATATCGGCAATATGGCGATTAGTGTGTGAGTGTCTGTGTATGTGAATTGATTGAATTAACTGTGCTTCATCCAGTAATTTTAAGCTCAACTCACCGATCAAAATGACCTGTGAACACCACTACATACTGCTATGGCATTCAAGTCACATTCTCCGTATTTATGTCAAGATTATTTTACTCCATGCCGTAAACAACGGCTAACATCATAATATGCTTTTTTTCACGCTTAAATTTCTCTCTAACTTGAACCAAATGTTCCGTACAAGAATGAGAAGCGTCGACAGAATCAAAAAAGAAAAAAAAAAAAAAAACAAAATAAAAACGTTATACGCTTTGTATTCTATTCGTAGTGATGATTCTTCAGAAATCAAAGCATATTAACACCATACCAACTGTTGACGAACTTTTAATATCTACGCCTTATATGTATTTACTATTTTATTTAATTCTGGCACGAGATTTTCGATACGCATTTTATTTGCTTAACATTCCACATCGGACAACAGTACGTATTAGTGGATGTATGAGTAATTTAGCGACTCAACCACAGAGTTCATTGTTGTGAGAGTTAAAACTCGCACGCTTTGTTATAGTATATGACAACGCCCAACACCGCTTTCAGTTTGCGTCCAATTTATTTGGCATACATCCAGTTGACCGATTGATGAATTGAATGGCAAAGATCATGTAAACATAATTAGAGTTTCAAATAACGAAACTTCGTTCATCTTCTCAAAAATCAAGTTAGCATGTCAATCTTAATATCGATTTTGCAATCTCACAACTTACCGAGAGATATACATAACATCGATATTTGTTGTTATTAATGTTAACATAATGATGTCGTACATACGTTAACGCATTAGCATTTCGTGGTGAATTCTCGCGTAGAATTGAGTGGTTATGCTCCAAAAAAGCAGAAAATTTCCATGCTAGAGAATCGAAATATGTAAAATTGCTTTTTTTCGCTTGAAATTAATGTACAACCACATTTTTACATATGTACATAATTTTTTTCTCTTATTTATATCTCTTCTACCTGTACAAACCTGCAAACAGACCTACAAACAGACAATTTATTCATACATCAACACTTTTACATTTCAGTCTGATGTAGCATAGACAATGCATGCAATATATACCATTCACTGAAATTCTACAACAATTACTTCTATACTTCTCTCATTTTTCTCCATTATTTCTCTTTTTCATCAGCACGCAATGTGAAACCGTGCGACAAATACACGAAAAAGGGAAAACTTGTACAAACTTGGTTCTCAAGATTATTGTAGCTTCTTTTATTGCCATTCGCCAAAAAAAAAATCATTATGCTTTCACTGAAAACCCATTTCTCTTTCAAATCGATAGAAATTGTATTTTTCTTAAAAGTTATCAGCATTAATTCACATGAAAAATGGGAGAACAACAAATATCATTTTACAACGCAAACGTTATTTTATATTCCATAATACGTCTCTCCGGACGGATACTTGAAGATTATAATTTGTACCAAAATAATTTCATTTGAAAAAAATGACCATATTCTATGTGTTCCATTCCAGTACACGCGACCGCAACATAAACAAGTGGAAAATTGGCGCACCTGACTCAGCAAACCATCGACTTTTATTGTTTATTGTAATGGTTTGAACATATTTTTCTCCAAATGGCAAAAACACTCACTCATACACACAGACAAACCATGCAACAACTAAACCATGACAATTTTGAAATGTCTATCTGCATCGATTTAACCCTCTATAGAGAATGTGTGACTCTCTCTGTTGTGCATTTAAATGTGTACAAACTTTCAATTGTTTATATGCGCGACCGGTTCAATATTGCATGTTTCAAACCGAAACACCGAATGAATTTGTTTATATCACTTTCCCTCACACACACACAAACTCTGTATTCGTAGCGATATTTGACTTTTTGAATTTGTCCAACTGAATTTTAGGCGACGGAGAATGCAATCGTATGAGATTGTTGTTGTTGTATACCAAAAATCATCTCTTTCTAAACTGGCGGCACTTCTCAGTATAGTTTTGGCCGCAATAAAAAAATCAATCCCGTTAAATATTGAATAGAGTGATTTGTTTGTTTGTGATACATGTTAAATCGAAGCACAAAAAATTCCTTTGCTACATTAATTCTGTTGAAAACTGAAAAATGTGAATACAAACTTTGTGTGTACTCCAGTTGAAAAGAAAACAAATCTGAATGGCAACTCATTATATTTCGTTGTGATTTTGTGTATTGAAACATTTTTGTCAATACACTGTAATTTTGTCGATGTGTGATGTTCAATATTCAACTGATCCTTGCCTTGTTAATGATGCTGGACATATGTATGAATATAAGTGATACAAAATGCAATCAAACAGCGAAAACAGTCGATAGAATTGTTGATATAAATTTTATGTAAACAAAATCGAACATTTGAATCTCATGTTACACATACTTTCATTCTTTAAACGAGTAAGAGTCAGCAAAACGCGCATTGTATCAATACCGTTGTATGCTTTGAGATTCAAACAAAAACGGCAACACATTTGAGTGAGTTTGAATGAGACTGAAAGACTAATAGGAGAAATAAATTGTAAAATGTTAACGTAATAAATGAACAATTTTATTGGAAACTATGCATATAATCAACTTTCCATTGACACGAAAATTACCACCGAAATGGGTGAAAACGTTACATTTTTCAACGTTAAAATAGATAAAAAACGTTACATTTTTGTTTGCTGGGTAATGCATTAATTTTTTTTCGACATGAGACTTATTTTTCTATGATTGTTTTGGTTTATAATTCCTTAAAAAAATAATCGAAATTCAAAAAATCGCATGGTTTTCTCAAAAAATGCTATTGACAAAATTCGAGAACAATCAAAACCATTGTTTAAACTGCAGTAAAACTGCTATAAACAAAGAAAATGATAATTTTTTTTGTCAAATTTCTGTTTTCGAGTACAACCGTGTTTATAATTAAACAACCGATTTACATCCAGTTGTCAAATGACCGGAAAATGGAAGCCTGAACCCTACTGAATGTATTTTAATTCATAAATAAAATCTTTTTTTTTTTTAATTATATATTTTAGACAATAATTTGTACACCATGCCTAAAGGCAGGGCAATGATTATTGTAGAACTACTGAAAATAATAGATCAAGTTTTTATATCGAATAAATTTCTATTCGATTAGCTTTATCGGTTGATGGAATCAATGTTTGGTAATAAATCCATTTAATGTTATGGTAAAGTTTTTGCAATTCTCTTGTCGAAATCGACCTTAGCAACTTCGGTTGCAAAGTCAAGTTGGAGGAAATAAATATTGAATCGACGTATCATGTGCAGTGTAAATCAACAAATGCACGTTGATCGAGAAGCGTGCCGCGATGAGTTGCTTATTTAATAAACACAAATATAGATTCTACAGAGGCGACACAACATATCGTGCTCTACCCTGCTTAAACATTGAATCATAGGTTAATTCGTCTCTCTGATTCATTCCATTTATTGCGTACGTGCTTTGAAGCCGTGATAGGGCATTTTTAGCATTATGAATGAATGAATGATTAACAACAACTTAACTTAAGATACATTGACTATATATTCTAGATGAGCGTCTTTCGGTCTTTGCGACGATTATTATTGAATTTGATCGTTGGTTGTCTGTCGGAGTAGTTTTATAGCGGATTTACGTACAGATGCATTTAATTTAATAAATTAAGCGATGAAACATGACAAACTTTAGTAAATTCTATGTTGTGAAAGGTTGAATTTGTATGAAAAAAGGTTGCAACATATGTATCATTTAATTTAATTAAGTTTAATTGTTATTTTGCACTACATAAATCGCATTCATTCAACATTTGAACGTGGCTCACATAATTAATGTTGTGGCATCGCCCTTTTTATGTTAAAGTGACAAAAAAAAAGTTTGGATTTTTAAGAATGATTCATCATGTTGTTGATGATTAATTCTATTTTGTTTCGTTCACAGAATAAAGATAAATTTCAAAAGGAGATCGAATTAAAACCAGTTCAATTGGATAATAGAGTACTGTGTCGCAGTCTTGCACAACGATTGAGTCGAGCACGAAACACTGATGCACGTGAACTATCTCGATTGCTGAGTAAGAGCCATTTTAAAGCGTTAATCGAAACACACGACGAAATCGGAGCTCGAGCTCTTGAGCCACGTCCACCAATAAATCCGCGAAACGTATTATCCAAGGAATTCATCGAAGCAACGGAATACGCAATGCCTGGTAACTAATAAAAAATAATGAGACTTTTATTCAATTTAAGGAAATAAACAATAAAATAAAAATTATAGGTGCTGAAACAATACGAATGGTTGGGCTTCGGCGAAAGCCAAATGAACCGCTTGGCATGACCGTTGAAGTAGATGAACACAAGCAACTAATCGTTGCACGAATTTTAGCCGGTGGAATGATTGATCGGCAAGCCCTACTTCGACCCGGCGATGTTATTTTGGAGGTGAACGGTGTACCTGTGTCATCACCCGAAGCATTACAAGATCAAATAATGCTGGCAAAAGATTCGATTACATTGAAAATTGGACCGAGTGTTGAGGAGGAAATGAAATCAGGCAGACTCATAATGTCTGGTGGACAGGTAAAGCATGGTCGTTATTTAGACACAGGAAAAAAATTGACGGTAAGTACGACTGCTTTTTTGTTAACATTTGTTTCTGTTTGTTTTTTTATGGCACTTTTCACTCTACCATCACATATACCACACGCATTTATCATTTTGTTGTAGCATTGTAGTTTCTCTTTCTTTCGCACATAACCATTTTAACTCATAAATTAAATCCAACCATTTGCTTGGCTTTCATGTATTATAGTCACTAATATTTAACATTTACTTACGTATGAAACTCTCTACTTAATTCTTGCGATTAATTTCAAACCATTTTTCGAGGGAATTATTTTCATAATGTGCTGTGTGTTTGGCTTTTGGCATGCGATGAAATTTTTCAAGTTTTTGTGTTTATTGAGCTTTTTTGTTGTCTTACAATTCATGGTTGTGCTTTTCTTTGGTTTCTTATTTCTTTGTTGCACTGTATATGTATGTATGTGTGTGCGTGTGAATCACAGACAATATCGGGCCCCATCAAAATTCTTTTACGCGAAACCCTTTCGAAATGGTGACGGAAAATCGGATTTAATGTAAGCCAATACACATTCTATCCACAATGTATCTACTAATCGAATGGTATGTTCTATGTTCACATAGAAAACAAACATATCCATTCATTTTACACATAAACACCATTTGTGTTGCACCATTCCTTTCGTTTTAACATCTTCTCTTATGTCAACCAAACCAATCGTATTGTGGTTGATGATAGATTGCAATCACATTATTCGAAAGTCATCATAAAGATATGTGAAAGTTACCGAAACAAGATCATATTTAATCTCTACGATGTTATTGTTAAAAATGTAGAGAAGAAGGCAACTCAAAAATAATGTGATTGCAATCATCGACGTCGGTCATTAGATTATTTTTAAGGAAAGACTCGGTCTTAATGTGATATTGATGAACACTTTTTTTTATTTTCTCTTTTATAGTGTTATATGAGAGCATTATTTGACTATGAACCAGAAGAAGATACCTTATTGCCATGCAAAGAAATTGGTTTGCCATTCCAATACGGCGATATTCTCCAAGTAAGAATCAAAATGAAATTTTATAACAAAATGCAGTCTTTTATATGTGGAATTTTATTTGTAGATCATCAATGTAAAGGATCCAAATTGGTGGCAAGCCAAACATATTGGCCAAAATGAAGTGACCGGTTTGATTCCATCACAAGAATTAGAGGAAAGGCGGAAAGCATTCGTACCACCCGAAGCTGATTTTGTGCATACCATCAGCATTTGTGGTACAAAAGTAAGTTTATATTGTGCATACAATTTTTATGATAATTCGATTTTTATTTAAATTATTTTACACATCATTTTTAATAGATTTCAAAAAAGAAATTGAAGAAATTGTACAAGTCAAAGGAAAATGCCGAATACGATAAAGCTGATTTAGTTCTCTACGAAGAAGTAACACGTATGCCACCATTCAAAAGAAAGACGCTGGTTTTGGTTGGTGTTCAAGGCGTGGGCCGAAGAACATTAAAAAATCGTTTAATTAACAGTGACCAAACGAAATTTGGCTCTGTTATTCCTCGTAAGTTCAAATTGATTAAATCATTGCTATCCATTTGATTTAATATTATTTTTGTTGATTTTCAGATACTTCGCGTCCGCCACGCGTTCTAGAAGAAAATGGAAAAAATTATTGGTTCTTGAATCGCGAAGATATGGAACGTGAGATTCAAGAGAATAACTTTTTGGAAAATGGCGAATACAATGGAAATCTATACGGTACACATTTGGATTCCATCCGTGATGTTATCAAACAAGGTATAAACATCGAAATGTGTTTCAAAACAGAAGAAATCAACATTTAAATTTTTGTTTACTCTCAAATTTCTCAGGCAAAATGTGCGTTTTGGATTGTGCACCGAGTGCCTTGAAAATGCTTCACAATAGCACAGAGTTTATGCCATATGTAATTTTCATTGCTGCACCTGGAATGGAACAGTTGAAAAATCTTTATGCTGAACGTAGAGCAACTGGTGGCTCTCAACGCAATTTGGCGGTATGTTTCCTTTTTTCAAATTCCGATATCAATATTACAAAATGCATTCCTGACGATATACCATCTATATTTTCTAGTTTGATCGACAAAGTTCAATTCGATATAGTTCACGTAGAGCCAGAACACTTGAATCATTGGCTTCCTTGTATGAGGTAAATTCGCATTTTAAAACGTCCAAAAATGACTGATTCTCTAATCCATTATTTATTTCATAGGATGATGATTTGATAGCGACGGTTGAAGAAAGTGCATTGCTTCAACGAAAGTATGAGAAATATTTGGATATGACCATTGTGAATGAGGATTTCGACATCACATTTAGAAAAGTTATCGAAGCGCTAGAGGCTCTAAGTCACGAACATCAGTGGGTTCGTATCATAATCACTTTTACTGAAGAAATGCTATCCATATTCTTTCGATTATTTTTCCATTAATTCCATTTTTATTTTCTGGTTCACCCTAGGTTCCTGTTAATTGGATCTATTAAATCGACTTGCAGCTCAATTAAATTCAACTCAACGATTCACCCCTCGACAAAAACAATAATTAAAAAGTATTTTTCTATATTTAACTGATTAGCATATTTAGAAAAGAACAGGGCGCTCGCACAAAGTGCGCACTAAGTTTGGAACAAAGAAAGTCATGCATTTACTGCCCGGTTTATTTACAAGATAAAAAAAAAAATGAAAACCGTACGAATTAAATGTGTAAGCGGGATGCAATATTTAAGTTACGATGCCGACAAAGTGTTCGACACAACGTTTGAAATCAGTCAGAAAAAATACAAATTTTACAACCAACATATATAGCATATTAGTTAGTTTTAGAAAAAAATGTGCATCAATTTAAACAAAAATTTATTTTGGTTCTTTTTCTTTGTCAAAATTGATAATCTTACATATATATCGAATGTTTCTTTTATGTCAGAGCAAATCGTTTTTATCTTTTTATATGTTCGTCATTTTTTTCATTAATTTTATTTACTGTGTTGTTAGCCGTATTGAAAATTAAACTGCGTCCATAAATGAAATCTCATTGTTGTAAACACACATAGTAATTTAGAATATAAGTCGACAAAATACCATAGTTTTACGAGAGAAGAGAAGAGAAGAGAAGATAAAATCACATTTATATACATCCAATTTTCTGCTCATTTTTTCGATCCTTTTTTTTAATAAATACAATCATGAAAAGAACGTCAGTTCGAATGACCAACATTATTTATGTAGCATGCGGACACCAAACAAATGTGTATTTAATACAAATAAATTGATATTCGCAACAAACACTTGTATTTTTATTAAGAAAAATCAAGTATATCTAATGTAAAAGTTTTAAATGTTTATTTTCGTCATCAAAGTTTAAAATTATATGACTGAGTTTTTATTTATTTTTTTGAATTTTTGCTGTTTAAGGGTAAAATATAATAGGGATCAGCAACAGTTAAATCTGTAAACCAAAATATGCCTCCGGTTTGCAAGGACAGAACCGGTGCATCGACCATTGCGTTGATACCAAAGTAGTACGATATGAATATTGGTGCTTGTGCTAATGGCACGAGCATATTTTTGCTTGGATTATAACCCTTATCCTTCATGATATTCCTCAATTCCTCCTTATATTGGGCATATTCAAGAGCATTACCTGCTTTACCTAGGGGACAATAAAAATAATCAACAAATAATCGAAATAATGGAAACATATAGTGAAAATGAAATCATAATTTGAATGACCCGCTTTACCCGCTCGAACCATTTTACTTTGAATGTCAATCATTTGCGGCAAAACATTACACATTACAGCCGTATTTCGATGGGCTAAGACAACCAATGGCGTGATTAGAATACGAATTATAACTGTACTAATTGCAATTGTAGCAAACCATGGCAAATCATACGATACATGTAAAAATTCCAATCCATTTTGTAGAATACCAACGGGCGTGTAACCACCTAAGCCAAGTTCAACGAATGACGGTTCGCTATTTGTTGTTAAAGTTGCTGTCGTACTCTCTGTAGCCATAACAGCAGCAGCAGCCAACATGCTGGGAGTGTGGTTGATATTTCGTCGGAATTCATAACGATGATCGAATCTGTAATAAAAATTAACAACTTATCAACTCTATCCTATCTTGCATTCCATTTAAAAACCACTTTTTTACAAATTATATTTATTGATTTGTTTGTTATCCGCATGAATAGTCCAGAAAGATATGACATGATAATTCCTGCAGCGCATACTATTTACCTAAATATAAATAACAATTGAATTAATACGAATATTTACAACGGGGATTTTATATTCAGAAGTTGAAGAATTTATATATTCACCACATTGAATCGGCTGCAAAACAACCTACTGCCCGAAATACAACAGCACCTAGTTATCATTTTCTCTGGCTCGTAATTTATATATTTTTCAAATACAATTCAACTTATTTTATAATTTAAAAAATCTGTTCATTCGATTAGATTTGCGGTTATGTCAAATATTAAATGACAGTGTCAGTGTGGTGAATATGTGTGTTGTGTATAAGTGTATATTAAATGTGATTCATGATATGTATGAAAAATATTTCTAGAAAAAAAATGTTTTCAAAGAAAATTAACGAATTATATTAGGCAATGTGCATATTAATCTTGGAATGTCTAATGTCGCATGTTAAAACCGAAAATTGAATTTGATTCTGACAGCAGTATGATGTTGTGAACTGTTTGATATTTGTTGAACAGGAAAAACCGAAAAACATAGGAAAAACCGAAAAACATAAGTTAAACATTTAATTGAACAGAATTAAAACAAAAGGCACGATAAAAACGATGTTTACATGTTTATATTGGAATAATTATTTAAAAATCATTTCGTATTTCTCGATAGCTAAATATATTATCAGCGAGGATGAACCTGATAATACTGAAGCATACTTTGAAAACAAACTCTAGAAGTACGGAAAAGTACGCAATTCTTTGTACCATTGGCAAATAATACATTCCTTTTGGGAAAGAAAATTGAGAATATTTTCTACATTTTGAATGTGAAGTTTTTTTGTTTTCTTTTTGCACTCCAATTTTCTTTTCTGAACAAATTACGCTATTATTCCATTCGGAAAATGTTGAAATTCAGAATTCGCTTATTCAACCAAGCACTGAATATGCTAATCTTTGAGATTTATTTCAATGTTTGTATTTTTCTCTGTTGTAAAAGAGGAATCTATGAAAAAACAACGTTGTTTGCACTTTCATTGCAAAAAACATAGTTTATTTTACAATAGTAATTACATGAATTATCATAAATATTTCTAAAGGTGGCAAATCAAATTAATAATTTAGCTACGAAAATTTATGTCGAAATCACCGAAACGTTATCGAATTTTGCTAAAAAGAATTGTTCTAAAGAAAGGACAAAATCAAACAAAACTTGAACTAAATGGGCGAAGCTTCCAAAGCTGTTTCCCTTGACTTTTATCGAAAAGTAATCAATTCTTACTTCAATTCTAACACTCATTTTATGTATAACTAATTCGAACAACACAAAAATTGTTGTGTGTTATTTAATCAGTAAATTTATGACATATGACTATTATAATAGACCAAATTAAACGCTCAAATAATGATAATAAATCAAACATTTGAATGTAATTGTCTTTTAAATTATTATTCGTTTATATAAACACACTCTATAAATTCGTATTCATGTTTTTTTTAAGTAGAAAAAAACGTTTCATCTAACGATAACGATAGTTGCTCATCGTCATCGTCGAAATCCTCATCGATTGAATACTTTGAGCACTTGTGGGTCCGTGTATTTGCATTGCACTGTATGAATTGTTTGCCGCAGATGTCACAGAAGGTTGGGTTTTCATCGATAAACTCTAGCATAACATCGCGATTGTTTTCATCATCATCGCCGAATAAATCGTCATCAACATCGTCATGACACATGACATCAATGTAGGATCTTTTCGGCTGCTGAAGTTCAGCCGTAGTATGGGATTTCATATGAATTTTCAATGAACCGCTACGATTAAAGCTGCGATCGCACACTGAATTGAATATTTTAAATCACATTAAAAATAAATGCCGAAAATTTTTTCTCATTAAATAAAATTAAAATTACCTGGACAATCGAATGACTCAGTTTCGGTGTGCAAAACCATGTGAACGGTAAGACTTTTGGCTAATCGAAAGCCTTTTCCACAAACAGAGCACCTGAATGGCTTTTCACGCTTGTGAATGCGTTTGTGCACATTGAAATTGCCCAAGTTACTGAAACGCTTTTCGCACACATCACACTTAAACTTTTCGCACGGTTGACTTTTTGTGTGACTTTTACTGCATACGCTACACGGTGATTTATTTTCAAGTAATGTTAACTTGATCACATCATCATAGGTGATTTCATCATCTGGTCCGCCTCCCATTTCTACGTCATCCAGTACCGGCGGCAAGGTTGGTGGATTAATCGTTGTCACCGGAATACTTTGTGCTGGTATCTGTGTTATTTGAATTGAATGTGGTGCTTCTGTTGTAACAACGCGATTATGAACAACAGCAGCATGATTTGCACGATCTTGTTCCGAATTGAAGTGTTCATCGCATATATAGCACTTGATTTGTGGCATTAGTTGAACAATTTGTGGTTCTTCTGGTTTGACCATAACGATGACTTCTTTGACTGAAACCAATTTTTTATCTTCCTTTTGCGGAGGAATATGAACGGATTCATGATCCTTCAGTTCACTCGGTGTTACAAACATCTTTTCACAACTTTCATGCTGGCATTTGTAAACCGGTTGCGAGGCAGCTGGCACCGAAACAGTAGTTGTGACCGTCGTCTGTGATGGTTCGTTTGATGTACTTGATGTAATTGTAACGGTTTTTGGCGCTACTGTTTCATTGCTGATGTTAATGCCTCCGCCACCTACTCCATGCGATTTCATATGTTGACTCAAAACTGTCGCTCGACTATAGCTTTTATTGCACGTTTTACAAGTGAATGGCTTATCCTGACGGTGTACCACCATATGCTCTGTGAGATGACGATACACATCAAAGGCTTGCCCACATACTTCACATTTAAATATTTGATTGCCAGTATGAACCTGTTGAGAATTTTTGATTGGGACATTTCATAAAATAATATTTTTTTATGTATACTAGAGTGTTTCCCATATCTATAGTTAAAAAAATGGTATTTTTCAATTTAAAGAGCATAAAATTCTGTTTT